AATACAGACTAAACGCATACAGGTGTTATTTTAGGCAGTTTTGTTAATTTGAATGTTTCATTAAGTTAAGATTACGTTTTTTATTAGATCTATACTTAATAAAATGGTTTGGTTGCTCAGGCTCGTGTTTTTCTTTTCCAGTTGCTACTGTACTCTTAGCTTTTGGATTATTGAGTAAACAGAATGCAATCAAGTAATCGTCATTAATATAGGCATCATAAAGGCGACTTAAAGAGGTGTTTCCTTCAAGCTGTCATAGGACAGAGGTCTCTGAACTGTCTTCAAGATTAATCTTAGGGTCCTTCAAGGCATTTTTTGATACTCAGTCCAGAACATTGTCTAAAAGCCATAGTGAGTCCACTTAAACTTGCTGTTCTAAAGGATCAGCCTGAGATGTTTGTGCAGTAAGGTGAGGTTTTTGATTGTCTTTCAGAGTAAGGACCATCTGGTTTCCTACGGTTCTTGTCTGGGAACCCAGGTAAAGTTCCACCGGCCCTCCACGTCCTTTCTGACAAAGGCCTGTCCCTGGGGGAAGCTGTGGGTCTTGACGCTGCTGGACGGACTGAGGGACATGCTGAATGCCAAATCTGTCCGGTTGCGAGGCGTATGTGGGGCTGCCGGAGGATGACATGGGCTCGTTGGAATGAAGCCACTAGCAGAACTCCTGGGTTGGTCTGCACCTGAAGGCAACACGGGAGGGGGGAAGACTCTTTCTGCTGGTGGGTTGAACTGGATCGTGTCTTGTGATGGTGTCTGGGTTTCTTGTAGTGAAGACCAGTAAGAGTGATGGTCAGCAGGATTTTGGAGTTGACTGAAGGCAGTGAGAGAACAGGTCTCAGCAGACGGGGCGCTGTAGGTCCTGGTCGTGGCTTCAGGAAACTCGTAATGTGTGCTCACTCGAGCGGCAGTGAAGTCGTCTGGGCAGTTTGAAGCTGACTCAGGAGGATTTTCACAGTTTGCTTCTTGGCATTCAGCAGCACTGTACCTACAGCTGGTTTCATGTGTTGCTCTTTGACAGTAACTGTGGACTGAAGTGTCTGTGGATGTGATGACCGGAGGGCCGAAAGAAGAGTTGGGATTGCATTCTGGGAATGAGGATGGATTGACGGCAGTATCGTAAACCAAACTCCTGAGGCTCCACTCAGAGGAGGACTCCTCGGATGTATCGATGGTGTCCCGATCCTTCAGTCCCAGAGTTCGAAGGACCCAGAGGTCCAGGTTTGGTTCTGAGCAAGCAGATGTCTCTAAAGACTCAGAGCAGAACTGGGCAGTGAGGTTCCTGCAGACTCTTTTGCTGATTTGTTGGGGGGGCGCTCGCTGATCACCACAGAAACTGTCAAAGCAAGCCAGGCTTCTCTTCAGCTTCCTCCTCCCATCAGCAGTTAGTTTCTATAAGAAACAAGGACAGAATAACAGCAGCGTGTTATTATCTTCTTTATCGGTGGCAAACATTTAATGCTTTCATAGAGCAAAAGACATTTTGGACTGATATAAAAGTGAACTTTGAAAGACTTGAGATGTCTCCAGGATTGGTGATCCATGGTTTCATTAACAGTGTCCGAATGTTTCAGTTGGCATAACTTGTTGTACATAATTTTCCTACTTCTGTACAAAAACATATTCATGTTAGAGCCACAGGGTGACGATGGATCTGAAGGCTGATGGGGTTGGTATGAAGTCAGCAGTGATGTGGACCCATACCAGTTTTTGTGTTAACGTGAGGCTTAGGGCATACCTGGTAGTTTACTGAATAGTTTCTACCTTCACCAACAACCACAAGATGGGCGTTACAAGCAGTTCAGCCTCAGATATAAGGTGAGGAGGTTGGCCATTTAGAAGACTAGAGCATCCACATCGAAAGGAGGCAGCTAAAGTGGTTTGGGCGTCTAACTAGTTTCTCCTAGGCAAGTTATTTTTTCTCTTTTTGGGGGGCTATGACTAACAAGGAGAATCCCCCGGGCACACCAGGACACATGAAATATGTCTCTATGACTCTCAGCTCAGTAGATGAAGATCTGAGTGTCTTTGTTTAGACTGCTGGTTTATTTCAGATGATGCTGCACGGACCTTTGCCTTTTGTTCCAGGTTTCTCACAAAGGAGGAATTGAGGAATGCTCTGAGCTTGTTGTTCTCCTCCTGCAGCCTGGCCAGCTCCTCCTCCCTCTGCAGCAGAGTGTCCTGGAGCTGGAACACATCACAGCAATGCAGATTATAAGGACACGAGTATATGAACTGCAGAGGTTCAGTCGCACACATCGACCGGTTCTTTTGAAATGTGTTACGGTTTACTGAATACACAGCGGATCATCTGCCTCCGTCACACCAACCCTCTGCATTGACCTTGTTCACTACATCCATGAACCTCCTCTGAGGTAAATGGTAAATGGTAAATGGCCTGTATTTGTATAGCGCTTTTACTAGTCCC